GATTAATAAATCCTCTGGTGTGCTTGCTCTGCTGCGCATCGTGGCACGACTGCAGATAGTGCTACCACGAACCATCACGCATTCGAGGTGTAAAGCGCACAGACGATTGGGAAATGGAGGGGGGACAACGAAGGACGAGTAAGGGCCCGCGTGGCACGAGGAAGGGGGGACAGGGGGGGGAGGACGGGAGCAGAGGCGAGCTGTTGGTGTGGGTTGCGAGGACGAGGGCGAGGACGAGGAGGAGCGGGAGAACGGGGGAGGAGGTGGATCGGGAGCGTTGAGACGGGGGTCAATGCAAACGGGGGTCAGCCAGGGCACCAGATCCTGCAGGATCCTGCGAAGACCCCCTCTGGCTGACCCGGGTCAGCGAGCCGCTCGTGGCCGCGAGGCGGCCGCGCAGATTGGCTGACCCGGGTTTGCGAAGATCTGCGTTGCAGTTTTTGGTTCCTGCATTGCAGTTTTTGGTTTCTTGCTGACCCGGGTCTGGATTGACCCGGGTCAGAAGATCCCCGAGCGGAGGGAGATGAGGTGGAGGGGCAGGAGGAGGCGGGAGGAGAAGAGGGCAGGGGGGAGGGGGGGGGGTGGAAGGAAGAGTGGGGACGAGGGGAACGGAACGACAATGAGGAGTAGGCAGGCTTCCTCTTCCTCACCATCCTTTTTCTTGAAAGTAACTTCTCCCTGTCGCTCCTCGCACCCCCAGACGTGTCGGTAGGGCGCGCCGGGCGTTTCGCCTGAGACGTCTTCACCATCTATGATCCAGAAGCTCGAGATCTGTACCAGTTGCAGTCGCTCGAGGATCGAGGTCGGGACGGTTGCAAAATGTGGTTTTCGCATTAGCGCCGCGCACATTCGTTTTTGAAACATTTGCAACAGCTTCAATGCTGGAGGGTAGGCCGTTTTCAACATGTTGCTATCGCCTGAGCACCGCTCACACGTGTCTTTGAATTTTCGAAGCAGTTTCAAGGATGGGGGCGGCTCATTTTCAAAATGCGGCGTTCGCTTCAGCAACGCGCGCATTCGTCTTAAGAGTTTAGAGCAGTTTTCAGAATCCGTAGGTCTGAAGTTCCCCAACCTGCATTCTGGCACGATTTAGAATTGTCAGGACTCAGCAGTCACGTTGATTTGCGGTATTGAATTCCCAGGGATGGAATTCTGGCACGATGTAGGTTTGCCAGGGCGCAACTGTCACGTTGATCCGCTGCGCTGAAGTCCCAGGAGCTGCGTTTTGGCACGATTGAGGTTTCTCAATTGGTTGTCTTCCAGTGGGGCACTCCCCACACTAAAAAATGAGTGTTGTAAAAACCTGTGGGACACACAACTTGGAGGGGGCATAGCACCATCTTTGATGCGCCTTGTGTTTACGCTGGTCCTCGTCCTCCTCCTGCTCCTCCTCCTCCTCCTGCTCCTGCTCCTCCTCCTCCTCCTCCTCTGGCTCCGTCTCTCTTCCTCATGTTCCTCCTCCTCCTCCTCCTCCTCCTCCTCCTCCTCCTCCTCCTCCTCCTCCTATGGCTTCTCCTCCTCTTCCTTCTCCTCCTTCTCCTCCGCCTCCTCCTCCTTCTCCTCCTCCTCCTCTGGCTCCTGCTCGTCCAAGATCTTCCTCTGCCCCCTTTTCCTGACGCTGACGCCGGTGACAGGTTCATGAGGTAAGCTTGCGATGCGGAGAAATTAAGAGGGGGAGCGACGACACGGCGGGAGGTGCTCACCTCGGCAGGAAGCATGCGGGGGGAGGTCGGGCAGCGGCCCTGCAGCACCCAGAAGTGGACATGCCAGAACAGGATTCCAGGATTTCCGCCATCACGTAGTGATGTTAGAACAGGCCAACAAAAAGGGCAGAGAAGCGGCCGAACGGCCAGCGTTCGCCCTCGGCGGATACGGGTTCCTCCGCGCCCGTGTGCGCGCTCCTCACGCGCGCAAGTGTAGCGATCGCTTTGCGCGGGCTTTGCCGCGGCGAGTCCCACCTTATTTTTAGGTTTAGTGTCAGATAATTTTTTGAGTTGTGTTTGCCCCGTAGGGCTCAGATAGCGACGCACCCAGTCCCGCCCCAAGCCAGCCGAGGGGCGCCACTCCCCCGGCCGATTCCCACCCCCACGCACGCTCCGGGCGGGGTACCCGGGCCGTGGGAAGAACGGGTGGGGATCCCCCGATGGGCCGCCCGTAGACGACCTGCGTCCCCGCCCGACCCCGGCCACTGCAAGGGTGACGCAACCTGTCGACGAGAGTGTAATTGTCTCTCCCCCTGGCCCGCTGTGGGCAAACAAGGGTGACGAACGGGCTGGTACCCGCCTGTTTTTCTGGGGCGCACGAAGGCACCCAGTGGCACAGGTGTCGTGGACATGCCAGGACAATGTTGCGGTGGGGGAGGGAGGTAGCCTAGCAGGGGAAGGAGTTTTGGCATCGCAGGCGAATTTTCTGCCCGACCCCGGATTTTTCGACGAAAAATGATGCCGCTCAGAAAAAGAAAGGAAGCCCTGGGATACACCCCAAGGGGAGATATTCGGACGCACCCCTATCGATGATGGACGCCCCCCCTGTCGCAGATCCCAGGGTTGGGCCCCAAATCTCTGGCCCGCTTGAAAACCCCATGCAGCCAAAGGGTCGACATACAGTCAACGCGCCTAGTAAGGACGCTCGCCTTCATCTAGAGTATCCTTGCGTCCTTGCCTCTGTGGCCCGTCCTTTGCCGTTTTCACTGGTCGCCGCCGCCCAAAAAAATTCCAACTTCAGCCTCCAAGGGTCTTGCGTCCTTACCACGCGTCCTTACTGTACGTTTTGACTACGTTTTGACTGTGCCGCCTGTTACTGCACGTGGTCTAGGCTGCGGTCCTGGACGCCGGCGGGCGCGGCGGTGACGGGGGCGGCCCGAGCGCGGCCTGCTCCGTGCAGCCAGCTACGCCGCTCCTCGAGCACCCGCCCGCGCACGCGCCTTGCGAGCTACGGGGGAGTAGTTCCCTGTGCAACGGGATTTCTCCAGGAATGGTGGTATTAGGGGAACAAAAAGTGACATAAACATAGAAACTCGGAGGTCCGCGCGGATTTCTCGGATCGGCGCGCCCCTCCCTGGCGCGCGGAGCGCGCCAGGGGCGGCGCCGGAGGCGCCGTCGGGGGGCCCCAGCGCCGATCCGAGAAGTCCGCGCGGACCTCCGAGTTTTTATGTTTATGCCACTTTTGGTTCCCCTAGGTATAGCCACCAGAACCCTTTTCGTAAAGCCTCTAGCCGCACATGCAGGCAGAGCTTTCATGCTGGACTTCGACGTATATATCAAGGGGGGGGGGATGGGGGGGGCGCCTCGGTGTGGCCCCCCCCTCGCGCGCCCCCCCCCCCCCCTCGGAGCGGGGCCCCCCGACCCCCTCCGCACCCTGAGGCCCTCAAGGGCCCCTTTCGGGTCCTGTCCTTCGCCCTCCACTTCTGTACGTCACCCGCGAGGCCGAGTCGCTGCCGCTCCTCGCGCGCCGCCGCGCGTCACGTGGCCACCCTCACCGCGCCTGCCCTGCACCGCGCCGCAGAGAGGCCCTGGCCTGTGCGGCGGAGGAGAGGGGCGGTTTTGGCGGCCGCAGAGCGGCAGGCAGGCTGGCGACAGGTTGGCGCGCCAGCGGGTTGCCCAAGCCGCGCCCGCGGCCGTCGCCGCTCAGGGGCAGAGCGACCGCTGCCGCCGCGCCACGCGCATCGAGGATCGAGGGTCGAGGATCATGGGTCGAGCAGCAAGGATCGAGGCACGGCGGAGGTGAGCCGGGAGGAAGCGGGCGGGCGGCGGCGGTTCGGCGGCGGGTGCCGCCCGAGCTGGGCGCCCGCATCTCAAAGGTGCTCCAGCACTATACTAGACCCGCTGGAAGCTCTTAACGTCGATATGAAACATCGGGACGGGGTGTCGGGCGAAACGCCCGACCCGCCCGAACGACACATCCAGTGGTGCGACGGGGAGGATTATATATACATATACATATACATATACATATACATATACATATACATATACATATACATATACATATACATATACATATACATATAATATACATATACATATACATATACACGTACACATACACATACACATACACATACACATACACATACACATACACATACACATATATACATATACTTACATATATATGTATATATATATATACACATTGCACATGCAGTGGTGTTACGCTATTTGATTTGCGCCCCACTTACCCCCGCTTGCCCCACTTGCTCCACTTGCCCAAGTGGGGCAAGCGGGGCAAGTGGGGCAGGCGGGCCAGGGCAAGTGAGCCTCCTCATTTCTGCAACGGCGGGCGGGCGGGCGGGGCAAGTGGGGCAAGTGGGGCCAAAAGGGTGTATTCCAGATCGCAGCCAATTGGGCTCCTCGTCGTTGGTGCAAGTTGGTGCAAGGGGCACATTCCAGATAGCAAGCAGTTGGGCTGCCTCGTCCTCCTGTGCCCTCGCCGTGCCCCTGCTCCTCGTCTTCGGGGGCGCAGGCGAGGTTCTGCCCCGGCTCTCCCCCTGCCCTCCAAGGCGCAGGCGAGGCGCGCGCCTGGAGCACGCGAGGGCGAGCGAGCGAATGGAGGAGGATGAGGAGGAGAAGGAGGAGGAGGAGGAGCAGGAGGAGGAGGAGGAGCAGGAGGAGGAGGAGGGGTGAGGAAGAGGAGGGGGAGGAGGAGGGTGCCCCCAGGAGGTCCCACAACCGTTGAATCCGCCCCCTGGAGCCCCGAGTTTTCAACCTATTTTTTCTCGAGGCGCGTTACCACTCTAAAAACACATTGGATTTGGCCGGCCCTCCAAGATTCAAAACATGCCACATCCATTCGTTTGACATTTTTTGAATTTCACGTGGCGGCCTGAAAGTGTTGTGTTTTTCATTGAAAATGGGCCCTCGGGAGATTTATGTTGAAAGCTCGGCGTAGGATCTCGGACTCAAAGCGGACACGGTGATTTCCCAGTTCCCCCTCCTCCTCCCCATCTCGCTCCTCCTCCCCCTCCCCCCAGTTCTCCTTCCAGCCACAGCCACTTTGGCTCACAGTGACACCAGACCGGCCGTCTTCTTGTCATCCAGTCGAAAGAATCTGGCCCCGTTACCCTCGAAGTGCACGCTGTGCCACTGGCAATGCACCATGCCAGACGCACACGAGATGTCGGCAAGCTTCTTCTCGACCTCCTTCGTGCCATTTTGGTTGAACACGATTCGCAAGAATACGTCCTTGTCGAGAACAGGGCCGCCACCTTGCCAGGACAGCCCCCCCAGTAAACTGCGGAACTCTCTTAAAAGGTCGTCGTGGTGCTCTACTTGCAACATCGCTTTGAGCTGGGATCGGCACTCCCGGGCGATGACGTAAGACGCCACCACCTCTGCCATGAAATGTCTCCAATCGTCGTTGACTTGGGGCGAAGCTGGGAGCAACGCAACCGCTTGCCTGTCGAAGTTCCAAAACGAGCTGTTGTGCAAGATCCGTACGCCGGCAGCCCACGCAGAACACGATGAGTCGACGATGAGACCGACTTATTGAGTTTGTCTTTGGTCACCGCTTGGACTGAAGACGTGCTTGTAAATACGGCGGCCTCAACGCCTTGCTCCACGACACAGGGTTGGTAATCTCTGGTGGAAAAGATAAACTTGACGTAATGCAGAACTGCTGATGTCAAGGACTCCTTCTTCCATTCCAGCTTTATCTGAACGTTGCAGCAGCACACAGTTTTAACAGCTGTCTGCCGCTGCTCCATCTGGGCATGGATGGCCTTGAGCGCGCGGCCTCGCGCAGCAGCTTTGTCGCATGTTAAGTTCCAGTACTTAGATGTCGCAATTTCGGCGCGATTGTGCGAACAAGCGCTTTGAGCCAGACTGGCTACGACGAGGAGCATCAGGAACACGAGGAGAAGGACGAGCCCGAGGACGAAAACAGCGAGGGAGGAGGGCGAAGAGGAAGGGGAAGACGGTGACGAGGGAGGGAATCTCCTCTCGCAGCCTCGGGGCCCTGGGGGCCTCCTCCTCCTGCCTCCGTCTGCCTCCTCCTCCTCCTGCCGCTGCCTCTTTCCCCGTCCTGCTCCTCCCCCTCCTGTTCCTCCTCCTCCTCCTTCTCCTCCTCCTCCTCCTCCTCCTCCTCCTCCTCCTCCTCCTCCTCCTCTCGGGCGCGTTGGGAAGGTGCACTTTCAGTCGCTCCCATCAGCTCTCTTCGTTGCCAACTGCTCCGGGCGCCACCCGTCGGGAAGGCTGGGACGGCGACCACAACGACCCCCGAGATCCGGCGTCGTGAAAATCCCACCAGCCCTTTGGGCGGCGGTGGTCGAAGGCGTTTCCTGTTCGCTACGGCCCCTTATCATGGGTCCTGGCGGGGGGGGAGCGGTCAGAGCGTCCAAGCTGGCCAAAGATGGCTCCAGAGGGGGGGCTAGATAAGGATCCCCCATTCTTGATTGATATTATCGAAGATGGCCCCCCGAGATCCCGAAAAGATTCAAAAAAAACTCCAGGACGGCCCCGAGGGCGCCAAAGAGCGCCCCAAAAGGACTCCAAGAGACGATTTGCTGGGCCCTGGGGGCCCTTCTTTGGCCCCGAGAGGGCCCCAGGATCCCGAGAAGGCCCCAAGAGGGCCCCAAGAGAGCTCCAGAAATTCCGAGAATGGACTCTAGAGGATCTCAAGAGGCCCCCAAGAGGCTCCCAGAGCAGAGGTCCGGAAATGCATTTGCGTGTTGAGTCATCGTCGTCGTCGTCGCCGTCGCCATCGCCGTCGCCGCCGCCGCCGGCGTCGTCGTCGCCATCGTCTTCGCACACATCCTGCTAATCTTCGCCCTCCCCATCCTCAGCCTCTTCCTCCTCTTCCTCACCATCATCCCCGTGCTCCTCCTCCTCCTCCTCCACCTCCTCCCAACCAGGGTTGACCAGAAGCTGATCGAGATCGTGTTTGAACCTGATTGCTATCATCCTCCTCCTCCCCCCTTCTCATTCTCCTTCGGACCTCGAGCCTCCATCGATCCCCCTTCAATCCTCGAACCTCGACCCCCGACCCTGAAACCTCGAGCCGCATCCTTGTAATGATTCCCCTTCGCCTCCTCCTCCAACCTCCTCCTCCAACCTGGTCCTCTTGGGGGCTTCTTGGGGGTCCTCTTTGGCCGTCTTAGGGCGTTCCTGGCCCGTCTGACGCCGTCGGAAGCCGTCTTGGGGGCCTCTCTGGGCCGTCTTGGTGCCCTTTTGGAGCGCTTCAGGGCCGTCTTGGAGACCATCTTGGCCGTCTTGGAGGCCTCTTGGGGCCACCTTGGGGCCGTTTTGGTGGCCTCTTGGGCCGTCATGGGGCCATCTTCGAGGCCTCTTGGGCGATCTTGGGGGCCTCCTGGGCCATTTTGGGCCGTCGGAAGGCCGAAGAGGCGCAAATGCCCAAATCCTTCAAAAACCTAAGAAAACAATGATTTTGACCTCTTTGGGCCTTCCTGGAGGACCTGTTGGAGGCCTCTTGGGCCGTCTTGGCGGCCTCTTGAAGGCCTCTGAAGTCGTCTTGGGACGTCTTGAGGCCATCTTAGGCCGTCTGGGGTGAATCTTGGGCCATCTTGGAGGCATCTTGGAGCCATCTTAGCCGTCTTGGAGGCCATCTCGACCGTCTTGGAGGCATCTGGGAGGCCAGCTTGAGCCATCTTGGAGCCGTCTGGGGCCGGAAAAAATTGAAAAGACGGCATGGACCCCCGCTCCAGTTTTCAACACGATTTCCTCGGCGGCCATTCTTGCATCGGGAAAACACACAGGATCCTGCCCGCCCCCAGCGATTCAAAATAACAAAAACATGACAAAAACAGTATTTGTATTTCCGGGAACGAGCATGATTCAGTGTTTTTTTCCAAATGAGAACCGTGTCGGGGGAAGGTATGTTGAAACCTCGGCGGTCTCCTTGGGGACCTCCAGGGGGATTATGGTGGATTCGGGCTCCCCCTTCGGGCTCTGGACCTGCGACAAGGCCCCTAGGAGGCCCGCTTTCCGAGACGCACCAAGAGGCGCACCTGAGAGTGGGGATCCTCGCCTGCACCACTTGGCCCCACTTGCCCCACTTGCTTCGGGTCCCGCGAGGGTCGGGGGCAAGTGGGGCAAGTGGGGCCAACTGAGCAAGTGTGGCAAGTGGGGCAAGTAGGCAGATTTCAAATAGCAAACACCGCAGCATGCCCCCACGATATATATATATATATATACATGTATTTATGCATGTATTTATGTATTTATGTATGTATGTATGTATGTATGTATGTATGTATGCATGCATGCATGCATGCATGCATGCATGCATGTATGCATGTATGCATGTATGCATGTATGCATGTATGCATGTATGCATGTATGTATAAATATCTATACGACCGCCCTGCGGGCGATAAGGAGGTTGGGGGGGGATTGAGATCAAATGCCCACCTTGACTGACCTCCAGCCTGTCACCGTGATCTCATCTCTCTCTTTCTGTCTGTCTCTCTCTCTCTCTCTCTCTCGCACACTCTGTGTCTCTCTCTCTCTCTCTCTCTTTCGCCCTCTCTCTCTCTCTCTCCCTCTCTACCAGAGCCTTCCTCCACCACAATGACGGATTGGGTTGGATGGATTGGATTGGGTGGGATAAGATAAGATGGGACAATATGGGTTGGATAAGATAAGATGGATTGGATTGGACATGATGGATTGGATAAGATGAGCTGGATTGGGTGAGAAAGCCCGCCGCAGGCGCCGACAAAAAAGAATTGATGGATCGGGTTGGGTGGATCGGATTAAATGGGATAAGATGGATTGGATAAGATAAGATGGATTGGATTGGTCCGCCGCAGGCGCAGAAGCAAATTAATTGATGGATTTGGTTGGGTGGATGGGATTGGGTGGGATAAGAAAAGATGGGACAATATGGGTTGGATAAGATAAGGTTGATTGGATTGGACAAGATGGATTGGATAAGATAAGCTGGATTGGATAAGAAAGCCCGCCGCAGGTGCCGAAACAAATGAATTTGAAGTTAGCGACATGCGTTAGCGCAGGGATGCCCGGGACACCCGGGACACCGCCCGGCCCAACTGGGACACCTCCCGGCCACCGGCGGACGGGAAATGGATTTTCGCTCCTACTGATACCCGGGACACCCGGGACACCGCCCGGCCCAACTGGGACACCTCCCGGCCACCGGCGGACGGGAAATTGACTCTCGCTCCTACTTCGGCCTAGCGAGGATCACGCGCAGCTCCGCCTCGCCCGCACGACACGAACACGAAACCGAAACCGATTTCCCGGTGGGGGGTCTCCATTTCACTGCGATCTCACCCCCAACCTCCGATGTATATATATATATATATACACACACACACTTATTTATGTTCCTATATATTGTAAATATAGAAAGAAGAGAGGTGGGGGGAGGCCGAGGTGGGTGCAGGACGTGGAGGAGGAGGAGAAAGGATCAGGAGGAGGGGAGGGGGGGAAGGAGAAAACGAGGGAGAACAAGAAGAGGAGAGAAGCGGGAGCTGAACCGCTCGAGGAGATGAGTAGGAGGAGAAGCAGCAGGAGGAGGATGAGATGAGGAGGAGGGAAAGCAGAAGGAGGAGGAGGAAGACGAGGAGAACAAGGGTGAGAAGAGGACGAGGACGAGAGCGAGGGGGGAGGCAGTGAGCAGAGGAGAACGCGGACGAGAAGGAGGTGGAGGTGGAGGAGGAGTTGAGAGGAGGTGGAGCAGCAGGACTCGTCGAGGAGCGAGGTCGTCGTGTTCGTGGTCGTGGTCGTGGTCGTGGTGGTCGTCGTCCTCGTCGTCGTCGTCGTCGTCGTCGTCGTCGTCGTCGTCGTCGTCGTCGTCGTCGTCGTCGTCGTCGTCGTCGTCGTCGTCGTCGTCGCCTCGGCCCCGCGCCGCCCAGGGACGACTACGACGCCCCCGCGGCGAAGCGGCGCAGCGCGCCCGCCGCCCGCAGCGGCCGGGCGGCCGCGCCCGCGCGCACGAGCGCGCCGCAGTCGAGCAGCGAGGACCGCGGCGCGGCCGCGGGGCCGGGGCGACGACGACGACCACGACGACGACCACGACCACGACCACGACCTCGACGATCACGACGACCACGACGACCACGACGACCACGACCACGACCACGCGGCGCTTCGGCGGGGCTGTGGGCGCCGTCTCGGCGGCAGCGTCGCCGCGGCGCGGCGGCGGCGGGGGGGGCTTGAGGAGGGGGGGGGGAGGGGAAGCGGGGAGGGGGAGGGGGACGGGGAGGGGGAGGAGGGGAGGGAGGGGGGAAGGAGGGGGAAGAGGATGAGGGAGGGAGGAAGGGAGGGAGGAAGGGAGGGAGAGAGAGGAGGGAGGGATGGAGGCAGGGATGGAGGGAGGGAAGGGGAGCGCACCAGTTCGGAACATGTGGTGTTCAGGC